GCCAAAAGCCCCACCCAACCTGCCCTTGAACACTGCCAGGGATGGGGCATCCACAGCTTCTCTGGGCAACCTGTTCCAGTGCCTCACCACCCTCACAGGGAAGAATTTCTTCCTAACATCTAATCTAAATCTCCCCTCCTTCAGTTTAAGGCCATCAGCCCTTGTCCTATCACTATGTTCCCTGATAAACAGTCCCTCTCCAGCTTTCCTGTAGGCCCCTTCAGGTACTGGAAGTCTGCTTATAGCCTGGTCTCCCCAGATCCTTCTCTTCTGCAGGCTGAACAACCCCAACTCTCTCAGCCTGTCTTCATAGCAGAGGTGCTCCCGCCCTCCGATCATCTTTGTGGTCTTCCTCTGGACTCGCTGCAACAGCTCCATGTCTGTCTTGTACTGGGGACCACAGAGCTGGACAGAGTACTCCAGGTGGGGTCTCACAAGAGGCGAGTAGACTAGAGGGGCAGAATCCCCTCCCTCCACCTGCTGGTCATGTTTCTTGATGCAGCCCAGGATATGGTTGCCTTTCTGGGCTGCAAGCATGCATTGCCGGGTCATGTGGAGCTTCTCGTCCACCAACATACCCAACTCCTTCTCCTCAGGGCTGCTCTCAATCCTTTCTCTGCCCAGCCTGTATCTGTTCTTGGGATTGCCCCAACCCATGTGCAGGACCTTGCACTTGCCCTTGTTGAACTTCATGAGGTTTGCATGGCTCCACCTCTTAAGCCTGTCAAGGTCCCTCTGGACAGCATCCCTTCTCTCCAATACACAAATGTATATGATTATCAGCAAAGAGGTGCTTTATTACATCTTAGGGGGTTTTTTAAAGCATGCTTTATAATATACAGTAAACTGACGTCTGTATTGCAATGCCCCATTCGGAGCTCTTCCACATAATCTTGCTTTAAAGGGTGGAATTCAGCAGTTGATTCCCAAGCACAAATAACCATGCAATTACTCTACAATCACATAGTAATTAGCATGTACTATTCATATATTGCATAATTATATGCCCTGCAGATTACGTAGTAATTATATTTGTACTAAACATATAATTCTATATACTGTATAAAAAAATTTCGAGAGTTTATAGTTAAGATTATAGTTGTATGTTAATGTAGTACAACATTTTGTATAAAAATGTTACAGTTTTATGAGAGGGTTGTATTTTGGATATCATCTCTTCTACATCTGGTGTTGCTTAAACTGTGGTAGGCTGCTATTATAAGAAATGCTTGACTGTTAATTTATAGTCAAATGTTGCACGTTTATAATTTTGTAAATTATGAAGATAAGCAGCAAAAAGTTGCAGTTTATTATGCAAGTAAGGTTGGGAAGGACTTGGTGTGTGGATGTTAAATGTACAAAGATTACAAACCCACTGAATGTAGTTACAGCATGTTGCTGGAGTGAAAAACAAATCTAATGCTACTTATGTGTTGTGTTAGTCCTGGGTAGGTAAGATAGATGGGATAGTAGCTGGTGATAAATTTGAATAGCGTGAAGTGTGTGCAGGCACCAAGGCCTGTCTTGGGCACAGTCAGTTCAGGCAGTTGCAGTACCTCAGTGCAGCATGCCAGCCAAGATACAACATCTTTTCCTGCCATCGAAAAAGATAAAAGGTTGATGTCCTGATCTGGGAATGGAAGGCAAAGTGGTGGGAGAATGGAGAAGAGCAGCACTGAGCAGACTGAATTTTTGGGGAAAGGTGGAAGATCTAGAAAAAAAGCTTTTTTTAAGAGGAACTCAGAGCTTTAGATGGTTTGAGATGTTTTATCTTTGGCCAGACCCCCTAAGAGGTTGGTGCAGAGTTTTAGATATTTGCAGCATGTTTTGTTCAGCTTGCAAATTCTGTAGCAATGGGAAGTTAATGTATTTTCTTGGATCTGTGATGTTGGCATTCCTAATAGCCAAAGCAGCATTACGATTATTCTTAATTGAATTTTGCATTCTAATACCAGTTGCCTTCATTTTCAAGCAATGCATATATTGGGTAATATCTGGATAATGTATTGCAAAATTAAATGTGTAATTATAGGCTTAACTTTTATCTGAGTTTAATTTTTTCTGTAACTTCTTGTAGCGTGTGCATGTGTGTGTGTGAGAGAAAGACGTACTCCTTGGTTTACAGTGTTTCTTTCACTGTCACTTGTTAATTGTACGTCAGCTTCTTCAAAGCTTGTAAACTTCATAAAACTTCCAGGGTTGAGGTAGCATCTATAAATCTTATAAAAGTGTCTTTAACTAAGAATGGAGCTTACAGGCCTTGTGGGTGGCCTTAGGGAGCTCACAGTCGTGGGGCTGCACCTGCTTTCCTTTCTGTCTGGGTGGGCTGTTTTCATACCGCAAAAACCGTAGTAACAGGCATCTGGCTTTTACATTCTGCGCAGTACACAAATTGCATTTAAATGTTGTTACCTGGTGTAGACACTGAATGTCATTTATACTGTTAAAGGAAAAAATAAAAAATGTCAGAGCTTTGCAAAACATTAGGAGCCCATGTTCTCACTGTGTTCATGTGCAATGGGGCAAATGTATCCCAATTTACCAGCGATTTTAATAGCCTTTTAGTGAGGCCAAGTCTTACCCAATATTCATTCTGCATGTCTACCACACTGAAGATGAAGTACAGCCTGCCCGGTGTAACCGTCATTTACTTGCCAGCATTCTGATCCTAACGCATGCCTCTGCTCTTGTTCACTCGTTAAACCATTACCCTAAGAAACATACGGACTGGTCGCAGTTTCTGGCCATGAAAGTTTTGTATGTAACGAATATATAATCAGGATCTCATTAACAGTGAAATAAACACAAACATCAAAACACAATATAAATGTGACGCATTTCTTACTGCTGTTGTGTTGTTTTTTCTAGTGGAGCCAGTACTTTCAAAGGGGAACAATTGCTTGGATGCAGCAAAAGCTTGTAACCTAAATGATACCTGCAAGAGGTTCAGATCTGCTTACATAACCCCCTGCACCAGCAGCACGTCTAATGAAATCTGTAACAAGCGGAAGTGTCATAAGGCCCTCCGGCTATTTTTTGACAAAGTTCCCCCAAAGCACAGCTACGGGATGCTCTTCTGCTCCTGTCGAGACGTAGCCTGTACAGAAAGGAGACGGCAGACTATTGTTCCTGTGTGTTCATATGAGGACAGGGAGAAACCAAACTGCCTGAATTTACAAGAATCCTGCAAGAAGAATTACATCTGCAGGTAAGATAGCACATGGCAGGGGAGTGATTAACGTGGTACCAGAGAGAACTTTTTGGTACTGCTGGATTTGCCAGGACTAAGGGTCAGAATATCCACTAGGGAAAAGGATGAGTCAGGGAAAAAAGCAAACACCTCTGACATCCTTAACAGAGTAACAGAAGCCTGTATCTGGTTACAGTGTGTGCCTTCTCCAAAACTGTCCACAGCTACTCCCTTGCATTATGGAGGAATCCTTAAATCCCCAGTTTAATTTTTACAGATTTTTGTTGGAAACATTTTCATTAGATGTCTCTATGAAATGATGCCTCACAATGATTTTGATGTCCCATTAGTGACCAGCTGATAATAGAATCATTCATTCTAATGCAATTTATTTTCATTGTAATCTTACGTGTAAGCACTAGTAACTGTGATTACAAGCCACATGTTGGACTTCATAAATGGTCACGATACACAGACTACTTGTGAAGAAAAAAAGTTCACGTTTGTAGACTAGATCCCTCTATCTTCGTAGAGCTGTTTTAGCCTTGGGATTGTTTTATCTCCCCTCCCCTGACAAGAGTGCTGGGCTGATAGAACCGGAGGGTCATTGATTCACTGCCCTAATTCCCAACCTCTTTCCTCTGTGTGTCCAGCCCGGAGAGGCAGCGCAGAGCTTCACAGGACAAACTGGGTCCTTTCACCTGCACTGAGTTCCCTGCAGGTTGTCGCACAGTGCTTATTCAGTGGCATACAGGAACTCCTCTGCCCTTAGGAAATGCTTTAGTCCTACATAACATTGTGTATGTTTATATTAGAACATTGTTGTGCTAATGTCATATTTATGAAGTTATGCCCAGGAATCTTGCTCATTTCTAATGTGTAAATTCCTTGTAGATTATCCAGTTCTGTGAATTAGCAAGCAAGGAAATAAACACTATTGTAAAATGTCAAGGATGCTGAAGATATGATATAAATCTTAATAAGCACTTACATGTGCCTGGTAAAATATTTACTTTGAAGTTTGTTTATGAGATCTCCACTGCTGATCTTAAGCGTTTAGCCATAGCACCTCAGATGGGCCCCAGTGGTGTTCAGAGGTGAGGAGGTGAGCAGCAGGGAGGCAAGATGGCTCAGGGGAAATCTGGAGCCAGTTTAAAGATTTAAATCAGAGCAGTCCATTGAGTTGCATTCAGCACCTTCACAGCTGATGCTATTGCAGTTTATGGAAACTGGATACATGTAGTCTCAGAACCACCTGTTTCCCATTTCCATGTGGTGCCATTAGTCTTTTTGCTTATATATATTGTCTTCCCTATACACAGGCCCTGTTAATTAGTAGTTACGGTATCTTTACTGTGTTTCTGCCAAACTTCCAGTGTGTTACAGTGCCAATGAAACGAGAGAGAGGATTTTATAGGGAGACTTCTTCCTATTATTCAGGCTGTAGTGTTCAGGAATTACTTAGTTAAATTAATGCCGTTACATCTCTCATGACTGTATTTTCCTTTGGTCAGCTTTGACCTAATGTTGTCTCAGCAGCTAAGTTTTTAATGGCATTTTGTTTCATTTGACTTCACGAGTCCGGTGGCATGCTTTCTCCATTGCAATGCTGCAGCAGAACGCTTGGTAAAATCTCCGTTCCTGTTGCCCTAAGTTGCAGCTAGCGCTGGGCTGAAAGTGGATTTTTTTACAGGTTCTTCCTGTGGCTTCTTTTGCTTTAAAATACCCATTAAAAAGTTTGGACTCTTCCAAGGCACCGTGAGACCTGGCTGTGAGGGCAAGGGGCTGGACTGGTACAACAGAACGGGTGGGCAAATGCCTGTGGGGTCTGGGGCAGAGCGAGTGAGTGCAGCACTTAGGTCCTATGCCTGGAGGTAAAGCAAGTTTGATGTGTGCTGAGTGTCATCTCACATAGGTGTTAATACCTCCTGGGCTGTCTAAACTGCTAGTGTATTTAATACCTTCCCTCTCTATTGTCACGGAGAGGAGGAATCAGCAGCAGAGCTATTCCAGCCTATCCATAGTACAGTGAAAGACATTTTGTCTCTGTGACTCGTGCACTTAAGAGGGAGTTGGGGTGATTTGTTCCCCTTGTCCAGCAGAAAAACAGGGACTTGGACAGGAGGAGAGAAACGGGAGAAGATCTCCTCCCTGCTATTGAAAGTATTGGCACTGATAAACATCACTCTACATAGTAATTCCAGATGTGTTTAGAATAATTAAAAGCAGTAGTCAGTAGGTATATAATTCTAACTCTGATAACTTCTATTTCATTTTGAAATTAGAAAGAGTATATAAATGGGATAATAATTTGAGAATAATTTTCTGCCTACTGTGAAACGGGAGACAAGTTCTAAAGGGTTTCTGAAAGTATATTCACAAATGGTTTACAAATGCTGCTTACTCAGAAATGCAAGATTTGAGTCTGCCCATTCTCTGTATAAACTATCAACTGGGCCTGTGCAAACAAGTATTTAAACATTCGGTTTGGGATGCTCTTTAAAAAGCTTTGTCCCGGATGCATATATCGCTGAATCTGTTTTTGAAACAAAGTTAAGAGCAGGGAAGTGATTTGACCAAACTGCAGGTACCCCTAACTGAGATGGCAGGACGCTTTGCTTATTTTTTTCTTTTTTATTCATTAATCTATCTGTTATATAACATAAACTCTCGATCAAGGAAAGAAGAGACCAGAAATGTCAGGAAATGCAAATAAGTTCTGACTTATGTAAACAGTCCTAATTTTTCAACTTCATCAGAATACTGAATGGTTCACTTTCATTACCATTTTTCTGCTGTCTCTACTTGTATCCCGGGCCATATCCAGCTTTGAAACCAATTGGAGTCTCTCAGGCATGCCTGGCAATGCTCACTGAAAAGAAAAGCAAAAAAAACAAAGAACAAAAAGAAGCCATTAGAGTTCCTTTTTATTATGAACATAAATAAAACTTCTAAGGAAGGTCAATATACTGTCAAAAACTCTCACCAATGATGTTGTCCTGGAATAGCTCAAACCTCTGAGGAACCTCTTGTTCGGACCACTTCAGCCACCAATTAAACTTCAGAAAGTTGATTGGCATGTTTTAAAATTTTAATTTGGTTGTAAATGCAGGGCACTGTGCTTCATTTTTGCCACTATCCCATTTGACAGTATTTCAAATACTATTTTCTTTGAGTAATGAAAGCATGAGTCATTAGTCTGGTCTTTTTAATAATCTGTGTTTTGAATTTGCATACTTCCTCTGTCTCCTGGATATGTTCAAAAGGCACTGACCAGAATGATAATGATACAGACACATCATTTATTAAAAGAACAGTATCCATCCAGTCACGTGCTGCAAAGATCTGAAAAGAAAGGTAGCATAAAATGAGGCATTTTTTGTTAATATAAGAATCTAGTAACAGTATGTTTCTTGTTCTCCACAATTATATTCAAAATGAGGCTTATTTTTGAAGTAGGCAGAAAGTGGTTCTTGACTAATTTCAGAAGACAGCTGTTTGGACCTTTTCTTTTGGCTAAAATAAATACTATTCTTAATGTTTTGCCTTTAGTTCTGTAAAAAGCACATGCTGCTGGCACAGCTATTTGATACTGAAGAAAAAAGATAAAATGGCCACATAATATATTTAAATATGTTTTCCTCATTGGATATCTGAAGGATAATAATGAAATGTCCTATTAGGTTTCAGTAGGTGGCTCATCTGCCTGAAAATATAATAAAGGCATTTTCAGCACTGTGCATTGAGAACTAAATCTTTATAAATGTGCTTTCATTGGTGTGTTCTTATCTCTTGACCAGTTTCTGGTCACCTATCCTATCCTACCCAGTCTTAATTTTGTTGCAAGCACCCATTCAATTCTGTATGAAAGATATCTGCATCTACAGGTACAAGAACACTGTGTGAAGATATGCAAACATTTCCATCAGTGCATAAAAGAGTTCATCCACAGTAAAAGCTAGAACAAAAGCTTAGCTCCTTGCTACGTTTCCTGAAAACGTAAGAAACTTGCCAAGAAATGAATTTTCCTTCTTTATATTCTGTTGCGAGCATTTTTAATGATAATTTTCCATGGAAAGGGAGTCATTGTATCTGTGCTTCTTTTCCATAAGGCATGTGCAAATCTGCAAGTGCTTTATACTAGTAGCTGTTTGTAAAAGTGGCTTCTCTGCGTAAGACTTCAGGGCTGTTCCTGCAACATGTGCCATTACTGACGGCAAACCCCACACCCTCACGGATAAAATGTGCCAGAGGAAGGGGTGGTTCAACACTGTAGGCAAGTCTATGATGAGATGTTACAAATGTGCAGTCAGCCTTTTCTGTGCTGCTGTAGGAGAGGGGGAGCCCAGCATCTTCTGTTAGGAGGGAGCCTTTTTCAGTTACAGCATTAACAAGTATCAGGGAAGAGTGCACTAAAGGGATGTGTGGGGGGAGACAGAAGAGGGGAAGAAGAAATATGCCCTTTTCCTCAATTTTTCTATTCCTTAGACTTTGATTTTTCTCACTTTCTCCCTTACTTTTTTCTCATGCCTCTTCCCCTTGCTTAGTCTCCTTTCATCTCCTCTTTCCAGATGTCCCGGTCATTATCTGACTTTCACCGCCTCTCTGCCACATTTGAATTCTCTCTGTTATGGCCACTTACAGTACCTCTTCACCTGCTCCTCTGTGTGTTGTTCTTGTCCTCCCTCAATATCCTGCCACAGTCCAGCGATCATCTGTAATTCAGCAAATGAGAGGGAAAACATAGGTGCTGCCTCCCCTTCTGAGCCTTATAGCTTATATTGGTTACAATTCAGCTGGCCAGCTACTAAGCTTGACTGCTCAGTCTCGGACTGGCTCTAGCTTTACGTGTTAAAAGGACACTTAATGGATATTTTCATGAAGGACACAGCAGCATTACGCAGTTCTGTATAACAGAGCTGGATTTGCATCCCTCCAGGGTATTTGTATCGGTTTGGCACTCAAAGCTGCCTGGCAGCTCCTTGAGATGATTGTTTTGCTGTGGGTATGCAAAACCA